AAAGTGAGATCAGGCTGATAAACACTTATGATCCTTCAAAACATGAAAAATCAACTAATTGGTAGGGGGGTATGTGCCCCTCCCAAGAGATTTTTCTAGAGTTCCCTTGGGTAAGCAATTTACCTTGCGTATTGAATGGAGAAAAATCACAGCTGTGTCTCAACTAGAGAAAGACAGAGTGGTAGCTGAGCTCACAGCTATCTGTCCCCCACCTCCTCAGAACAGGTCCTGATTTTATCAGCTCCTAGGATCTGGATGCAAAGCTCACAGAATTTTTTCCCAGACACTTTTTCAATAAATTTGACTAGAATTTCACCATATGCTGAGTGCCAAATGCTTTAAGGCTAAAGAACCTCAACATCTCAGTCTTACACACACCTGTCCATCCATCATAGCCCAGCTCTCCCCTTGGTTTTCAGACCACACAACAGCTTGCCAGCTGGCCAGCAAAGCTAAGATGCCTGATCACAAAGCGTCTTTGAAAAAGGAGGAGGATGCTGCTGAAAAATTTAGACACATGACTTAGGTAGGTTTGCTTTATTATTCTGATTTTCTCTACCACTTGGGAATTTATACTGAGGTTTACTAGATTCTGAAGCAAAATACAGTAAGGGTTTACCCTTTTTTTTCTTTAGAAGGGTTAAAAACAAGTGCAGTTGACATCTTATTGTGGTTGTATAACACAAAACTAAACCACAGAAAATAGATATTTCTACCTTAAAATTATGGAATTTTTTTTAATTAAGTAAAAATTTGAGGTGTTTTAATAAAATATTTCTAGGAAGGTTCATCAGTACACCTAAATTGCAAAGGTTATAAACAGTGAGGCCTTCCAGTGAGGATAAAAAGACACCATCAAATGGAGATCAAAGGAACACCTTTAAAAGTTAGGTAATTGAAGACAGGAAATAACCACAATGAAGTTCAAAAAGGGAAAAGAAAGAAGGTAACAAAAACTTGCAGTGAAGAGATAAAAAAAAGAAATACAATGTTATCATACTGCTTTTTTAAAACCATCCTCGGCAAACAACTACCTGTAATGTGTCCCGTTAGAAGAGTGGATATTACTTGCAGGAGTACAAAATAAAGCTCAGCCTCTATCTCTAAGTTCCTTAAGATTCTTCATAAGTGTTGCTTTAATCTTGGCAGCCCGCATTGCTGAGTACTAAGAGTTCATTTTATCAAGGATCCTGTGTTTGTTCTTCTTTTCCTCTCCTCCTTACGTGTCTCAGACTGAGGCAAGGACTTTTCTTCCAGATGAAGATCTCCCATTTTGCTGATTGTGCTGTGATTCTGTTTTCCATGGACTTCATAAAACTACAGTTTGTCACGAACCAGGATTTAGTGAGAGGGATAAAACAGTTTTGATCGAATAAACCAATACAGACACTAGAGAAATGTTAGTGCCATCAGTGCCACCTACTGCTCTATTTCTAAAGTACAGTGTGTGTACATCAATAATTGCTACAAACCATCGTAGCTTCCTCCTGTAAAATTTTACTCAACGTGTATGAGCATTTTTAACATCTATGTCTTATTTTTTTCACTACAGTTAACGTAGGCAAACCTTGAAACTGCAGTTACGTTTAGAACAAGCCAGACCTAGACAGTTACCTCTATATAAACTCCCACACATTGAGAGCGTTTCTTCCTCTAACGTGCACTTTCTCACTCGCAGCCAGGGAGGCTGAAATTGATTTTCCAACAAAAAAGATTGTCTGAAGTGATTCTTCTGGAGGGACTGTGGTGTGCAGACAACATCCATGACTTACTTCCTTGGGTGATGTGTTGAATTAGTGTTTGCAGAAAACTTTTCTCTACCCATATAGGTGGAGTTTAATCAAAGCATGTGGAGAAGACAACATCCTGGAAGGTAACAGTTTCAAAAAAAGGTTTTAGGTAGGGCAGAATGCACAGCATTGTCCTTGGTTGCTATCTCCAGAGAACTGTAGGAAATTTGGGAAAAAGCAATACACACTTTCTATGATTTCTCTTCAAGACCTTGCAGAGTCAGCTTTCTTGCAATCGACACTGTTTCACTTCCGTGGGCTGAAAAATAAATTGTTGGGATAGCAAATAATGTCTGGCAGAACTGAGTCACATTGAATAATGTATTACCAGAGGGCATTTGTATACTTTGGTGACAAGAGCAATATAGGAACCCGGATAGGCCAGACTCAAAACCAGTTTCACTGGTTTCCAGATTTCTGGAAAATATTTTAATCAATGGTTTATGTTAAAACCTACTGCTTTGAGTAGGTTTCCACCTTCCCACTTCAGCAGTTGTCCTCTGTTTTGCTAAAAAGGAACAAACTGTACAATCACAGTCACAACCTTTCCCTGTCCCTGTGACAAAACCGACCTGTTCTAGTGTTAGCAGAGTGTCCCTTTCACCCCTTGCACTTCACATGGAGGACAGCTAGCAGCTGTCCCTCTCTGCTCCTGGTGACCTCCCCTACACCATGTGTGCCAAGTTTGCCTGTTCTTACTGTCAGAACACAGTTTTTCTTCTGGAGAGCTGGTTTTGTTGTAGGTTCACCCAGTGATGGTGTTGCCAGTGCTTGTGAAATTATCTTGTGATGTCTGACAATTGTTTCAAACCCATTTTTCAAGGTTTAAGGGGTTATATCCTCTTCTGTCAAATTCAAAAAGTAAAAGAAGTATCCTCTTTTGCAAAAGCTGGAAAAACATGACGCTTGAGAACCTGAAAACCACAGACTATATAAGGAGCTTAAAAATTTGATTATTACAACTCCAATTCATTGTTCTAAAATTATTTGCACATTTTTTAGGCTTTTGAATGCTCAGGGACAGCGATGTGTCAGTGAGACAAAGCCAGTGTTTATCTGGCATCACTACCAGAAGTTTGTCAGCCCTGGAGAGGGAACTGGTGGGGCAGTTTGACTTCAATATCTGGAGCGAGGTTCAGAGGACTGCAGAGGAGAGCGGCACTTGCAAACCCCTCTGGTTTTCCTCTGGGAAGCTGCAGCTTGTGGTAGTTACTCGTGATGAGAGTGAGCAGGCACGAGTTCCTCTGGCAGAGATCTCATTTTTGCTGAATAAGAGTTCCTACGTACCGCCTAACACTGCAAACAAACCCAGCGACAGCTCTACTGGGGAGGGCCCCCCGTGCCCCCGCCTGCCATCAGCCGGGTCGGTGCAAGGGGCCGAGGGGACGGTGGGGCCTGACATGGCGGCCTGTGGGCAGGATGGCAGCGGAGGGGCCCGGTGTGAGGGCGGGAGGGGTGGGAAGCAGCTCCCAGCTGCTGCGCTGTGGGACGCGATCCACAGGCCGCAGTCAGCGAGGCAGACGGAGGGTGGGGTAACCACCCTCGCTGTCTCGTTTAAAATGTCTGCTTCTGCAGTGTGTTCACTAACGCGGGGCTGGCGAAAGCCTCTGGGATTAGGACAGGCTCATGGCTGCTCTGGGTTTAGTTCCTCCTCCCGCCACCTGAGGAGAGACGGCCTCTGTGAGACTGCCAGCTCCCAGCCTCGCCCGCAGGGTTTCCAGGGAAAAGTGCGAAAATGTGACTGGGCAGATTTGATGGTTCAGAAATTAAGTGAGCCTTAAATTATGACTGTTTTTTTCTTGTAAGTAACATGATTTTTAGCCTAGAGGACTATGTGGCTTCCTACCTACTCCAGGCAGTAAAAGCCACAGCCGCTCCAAAAATAACAATTCTCAGCCGGGCTTTTTTTTCCATGAACTGGTAAACAGGGCAACTCAAACCACGGAGAAGAAAAGACACCGAGCCAATAAAACCCGGAATCCTTCCCTGGGCAGGCTGTATTGATTTCCAGTTAACCGAGAAGGGAAACCTCCTTCCCCTGACAATCAGCCTGGCCTGGGGTGAAGTGGTGTGGCACAGGTGAGCCCACCTGCCAGTTGAATTGGATTCAATTGACACAGCTCTCCCAGAAGCACTGGCTTCTCTACCAGACCTGTAAGCACATCATCTTCCAAGGAGGCAGCTGCTCTGTGGAGCTTTAAGGATCTCAGGTTGTGATTTAGGGACCGACATCTCTGCAGATGCGTGTGCACCACTTACAGCATCTTGTGCTGTAGCAAGACAGGGGCATACTCTTCCCTGATTTACTACTCACTAGTTTCTCTGGGGCAGATGACATGGGCCCAGAGGCCAGAGAAGAGCTGTGGCATAGAAAGATAGAAACCAGGCAGAAAATCAGGGACCAGGACTGCAAGGAGAGCCAAAGTGTGTGCGCCAGAGTAGGGACAGAGCCTTTGTAGCTCTGTTTGTAGAAGCTCTAGGGCTGCAGGGCTGCTTAAGAGCAGAATGAAGGCAACAGTTTGTGCAGAGCCCTGGGAACACAGCTGGAGTTTCTTGTGGAGGAAGGGTATGAGATAAACTCACAGACTGATGAGCTGAACAAGAACAGGTAACAGTGTTTAACCTGTCAAGTAATCTAAGAGCTGTCATGGAGAACGAGTCTACTAACCCAGCTGGTAAGTGGCCAGCAGATAGAGAAGGCCCATGGGTGTTAATGGAAGGGTGTATCTTGAGGGGAGGACTCAGGGGCTGGACTCAAATCAGGTGGTGAACTCAAAGTGCCCTCCCTGCTGGAGTTTGCTCAGCAGCTCACGTTGTGCTGACTTTACAACTGTGGAGTTTCAGTTGTCCCTGAGGTGGTAGATATTGAATGCTGTGGCTAAGGAGCTCAAAACCGTTTTTTGCCTCCCTTTAAGAGAAGAAAAAGAAAGAGCCCTGGCCCCAAAACAGTCAAGGCCTTTCTCAGGTCTGTCTTAAATTCTTACATCTACCAGCAGCTGCCTCTCAAGCCCTAAGGATTTCACTGAGCCAATTTAATGCTGGTGGTGAGACAGTTTAAACTCACTAGCTCCCAGTTATCTGAATAATTTTCTCCTCAGAGTCCAGCACACCAGCAGATTGCTCTAACCAGAACTGCAGAGAACTGCCACATTAACTGGACGTCTGCTGACTGCTGTGGCCTGCGTGGTGGGCATTTGAGGACTGGAGAAAATGCCACTGGTTAGATCACTGTCCATTACTTCTCTTAACGGGCTTCCTCAGTGGGATGATGAAGACCTACCAGTGGAAGATTTGTTGCTCTTTGAAGTTTCTTGGGAAGTCACCAACAAAGGTTTGTACAACACTCTTAGGAGTTAGTATCGCTGTTTTCGTGGGAGTGGAGGGAGGCATGAAGGAAGGGCTTGGACAAGAAAGGCATTAAGGGGAGATTGGGGAAAAGTGGGCTTCAAAGCTGTTGTATGTGAAGGAGTTCATGTGGCATCTGTGTGGATCACGCATGTGGCATCCATGTGGATCACGCGTGCTACGTGTGGGCTGCATCTGCCTGTGTCTGTGTGCGATGAGCAGACAGTCAGGATGTCTCTGTCGTTACATGTTTCACCACCACGTGTAGGTTGTTTAAAAAAGCATCTAAGTGTTCTGCCTGGGTGTGCAGATGTAGGGGTATATAGATGTTGCTTTGTACATATTTATATTTTACCTTCCATGCAAATTCACAAAATGCATGAAAATGAGCGGTAAGCCAGACATCAGATTCAGAGTAGTTCATCAGTCTCCCTCAGCCTTCTAGAGCTGTGTGGAGCAGAGGCCAAATCTGAAACAGGTTTAAATAAACATAGCTGCATGGAAGCCACTGAGCAAAACCAGATGTCAATGACCAGCAGTCTTCATGCCAGCTGCAACCCTTTTGGACTCGACTTGGCAAACACAGGTGGTGCCAGACAGGGACTTCATGCTTTGTACACGTGTACAGATTGAAAATCTGTTCACTGCATGCAGCTTGTCATGCAAATGCATGCTGTTTGTTATGCAAAGATCTTTCTGCCTCCATTTCTAATTCACTCATCAAATCACCCCCTTTCAGCTAGGTGTAGTTCACAAAAACAGGCTCCATTTTTGCTCCAAAAGTGAGTTAGTATGAGTAAATGGTTGACCACGTGTCTGATTGTCCTGGCAGATAAATAGATCAGTCAGGAAAAGGGATCTGTAATCTGTTAAGATTTTAATTCTAAAGGGGAAATGTGTGTGAGAGGAACAGACAGTGCTAGGGTTTATCTCTATGGTGAAACTGGAATTTATCTCTATGGTGAAAATGGAACTATTCAGTGATAGCTTCTAGTATGTAATCCTCACTGCAGTGCAATTTTACATCACTCGTTGTAGGGTGATTTACACAGAGGTAGGACAGAGTAGCTTTTGCACTTTGAACCCCTGTGAGCTTATTTTTCAGTAGCTTCAGTCCAGCTTTTTGAGTGAGTTTACTCTTGTCAGAACTTGGGAGCACGTAGCATTTAGTTTTGCAGTGTGCATAATAAGTAGGGCACTGACAAGCAGATGGCAGCAGAAATCTGGCTAACTCAAGTGTTCTCACTAACATTTCTGGACTCCATAGCATCTTATATTTTCCGATTCATCTGGACCCACTGGTTGTAGATATCACACAATACGTTTAAGAAGCAAAACACAATTAGATTCATCTGGCTTTCAGTGTACATACAAAATGCAGTGAATTACTTAATCATACATATAGCTGTTGTTGGCTTCTCTGAAGTCAAATCAACTGACACGGCTAAAATTTATTATTCTCACATTTTGAGAGCATGAATATTTCTAAGAGTGACTATTTATTCAGTTAGTTTAAAAATAAGATGCTGTTAATTACACCACTTACCAAACTCATATATTAAAATGGAGCTGACTAAACCAGTCATGGCAAATGATTTCTTCATTAGAACCAGATCTCCATGCAAAGTTTCTACTAACCAACCTTGACCGGAAACATTTGTGCAAAAACTCTCTAATGAACCCATTTAAGCTTATTTTTTCTGGTAAATTCTTGATACTGAAGTGGTTTTTCTATATCTTCCAGGCAACTGAATGTCACATGGTGAGATACTGTTCCCTGATGACCTAACCTTTATAAACAGTTCTTGGAAAATGTTAGGGCACTGTGTTTCTTGGGAGAGAGAGTAGCCAACAAGATGCAGGCAGAGTCATCTCACAAGATACATAAGTTTAGGAAATCATAACTCACATTGTATTTTTCCTGCCTCTTTTAGCAGAAGGAAGACTGTTTATTTGACTAAGTAGGCTGGCCCCATGTAGATTTAGTACTGCTGTGTGTTTTAGTTTTTATCTTGCTCTCTATATTCCTAATATAGAGAGAAGGATAAGCATTAGCTGGGCTTATTGTCTGGCAATCTGATTTTGAGCATTTAAGGTGAAGATTTCTTTATTCCCCTTTGCAATGCAAAGGGTGCCTAAGGGTAGTTGAGCATGAAGCTTCCTTGCATTTCTAAAGTGGTGCAAAGCTGCTGTTGCCTACAGGAGAGAGTTCAAGTCTTTGTATTAACTTCGTGGGCATCTCTAGGTGCTTGGCTATGGGTTCATTTCCTCCTTCACCCGAGCTGCTTCTAAGTGGTTCCTCCATTTCTCCGTGACAGTGACAATAAGGCTGAATGTCTTTTTCTCTCTGAAGAACACACTACCAGAGCTCACACCTGTGGGGCTATGTAATCCCCACACCTGTAAACTTCACAGTGCACTTCACAGGTGCTGAGCTGTTTTCTGAACCTCTCAAATATATTCTTCTTCAGAGGCTGAGGATGATGAAAGGGTCCTGCAAATTGGAGCACATCTAATTACATATTGTGAGAGGATCTTCACGTGCCAGGCTGCTCACAAGAAGCAAGCGTTTACTGGGATTTCCCTGAGCAGGAGATGCAGCTGTAGGGAAGGACAAGTCAGTTGTATGAACTCAGTGCTGAGAGATCTAAGAGTATCCATTATTTCTGGAGTCTCATCACTCCTTTCTCAGCAGCTGGCACAGTGGAGGTGTCTTTTTCCTTTTCCTTTTCCTTTTCCTTTTCCTTTTCCTTTTCCTTTTCCTTTTCCTTTTCCTTTTCCTTTTCCTTTTCCTTTTCCTTTTCCTTTTCCTCGAGGTCATTTTAACAGATGCTTTAACTGGGCAGAGCTTTCTGCTTCTCTTTAGATTCTCCATCCTGTTCACTGGCTGTGCAAAGTGGCAATCTCTGACACGTATGCTGGAAAGCACCGGCAACTCTTCTTTCTCTTTTTCTCTGTCTGGAGCAAGGAAAGACAAGTTTGCTGAAGGAGAGAACAAGAAATAAAAAAGGCTCAGTTGCCAGTATCACTCTCCCTGTGAGAAGGAACTTGCCACCTAAATTGAGCACAGCACTGAAATCATCTTGCACGGAAAGTCCCCTGCCAAAGAAATGAGAAAAACGTAGTTTGTTTTGTAAGATTTTCCTCACTTTAACTGACTTTTCACTGATGGGCAAGATCCGTACTGCGAAGCAGAGCTACTGTGTTTCTGTGGCAGAAGCAGGGGGGGAAAGCAGGTGGGCAAGGGCCTGAGTGCACTGCAGTGCCACATGATCTGTTGGTGATCTTGGGGAAACTCAACTTTTTTCACCCTTTCCCTTCTCTCCTGGCCACTGTGTTCCAGTGAAGCCAGGTCTGGTCATATCTCTGTGCAAGTTGGAAAGGAAGACTCGTTTTCTTTCCCCCATAACATGAAGGCAAAACACTTCAAAGACAGAAGCACAAATCAAGCAGCTACAAGCTCTGTAGATCTTATGTCTGAAGCCCCACAGATGGAAATTGTCAACAGGGAGCAGCCAAAGCAGGAGTAATGGCAGCAGTCCTGGACATTTTTCCCACTGAAAATTTAAGTCTTTAATTTGGGTACAGGGGTGAAGTCCAATTCTTTAATTTATGATAACAGTTAGCTGTTGTTTGGTGGATTTTCTGAAACATTAATGAGAAGCGCTGAGAATGTTCAAGATCTGGTCTGTGCTCTATAAAGATGTCTTTAAAATCATTCCAGTAATATTTATATTAGTATCTCCTGCTGTAATACTAACACCTTTTAGATAGAAAATAGAAGATTGTTTAAAAATGCTGGGCAAACAGCCAGTTTCTGTCATCATTCAGCTGTGAACAGATTAGCTCAGGAATCACTGGTAGATGAATCCTAAGTATTTTTCTCCTTCCCTACTGGAATGAAGACTCTGCTAAAAACAAACCTTGGTTCAGTTCTCCCTGGAGCAGAGCTCCATGCACAGTTTCTCTGATGGAAATCTGGACTCTTGGAAATTAAATCCTGAATCCACTGAAGTCAGTAGGACCAGCATCTCACCCTCTCTGCATTAAACGTCCTCCCATGTTGAAAGTTCCTTGGGAAAAGGTGGATGATGTCATCTGTAACACACCTGAACTAACAGCACTTTGGGGAGTGGGGGGGTGCTGGCATGAACTTGGCATAAGCACAGCACCAGAGCCCTGTGCATTTCTAGAGTGGGGTGGTGTGTCAACATCAAATCAATCTCAAATTAAATCTTGTGCACTGGGGGTGTATCGTGGAGATCTGTCATAAATTTCAGTGTTTCAGTATTATTTCAGAATCTGTTTGGAATGCCAAAATTTCACAGAATTTAGAGAACTTTTCTGATGAGTCCTGGCCATAAATGTAGCCAAAAATAGATGAAAAATATCTGCTATCTGAGGATTTTGAGGGTTTTTTTACCTGACTCATTTTACAACCTTATTCTAAAATGGTCCTCAGCTATCTCAACAGGCAATCAAGAAATAAGATTCCAACCAAACATTAGGAAAAAATAAGTTCAAGTCCAATTTTATCACATCTCTCTAGATCAGAGATAGATTCTGAGGTGAAGGGGTGGAGGGATAGTTGATGTAACTAGTAATTGCATCAGTGAAGTCAACTGGAATCCTGAAGCTGGGGTCCCCCTGCTCTCTTGGATTCCATGGCAGCCGTGGTCTCCAGGAAAGCTTTAGTGCTCTCCGAGTGGCACAGTCAGGCCACAGTAAAGAAGCTGAAAGCCCTGGGAGTGCTCTGGTCCTCTGTCTGCCCAGCCAGGGTGTGTGGGGAACAGCTCCTGCACCGACCAGTGACAGTCTCCACTTATCTGTGTCTTGCTTGCATAGTTTCTCTTCCTGTTGCTCTCCTTCCTCTTTGGTTTCTGCTGCTCCTTCCCTCTGTCCTTCTGTAACGTGGGCTGGATGGGAGAGCAAGTAAAATGAACAGTGGGTATCTCTGGCAGTTTTGAGGAGTTTGGGCAATTCCATGCTCACAGAAGACCCTTTTGGTCAGAGCAATTTCTGGGTAATCCTAGAAGCTGTGGACCCTTCCACAACAGGTGACAAGAAGCAGTGGTAATACGTCTTTCCATCTAACATCTGGTGGCAGGAAGAGCATAATTACAGGTTAGATCTTGCACAAAGATCTCCACTTGCATACTCACATCTCCACTTCTCCCTCATGTTGTCCTCAGTAGTGATACAATATTGGGAGACTTCTTGGCTCACAGGCTTTTTAATTGTTTGGATATTTCTGGTGTCTGTCCTGGAGGGCTCTAATTGCTGCTTGGATTTTAAATATACAAAAGAAATAATGCACTAGGGCTTGAAATGAGGAAAGAAGAAAATGGCTGGAGTGATGCAGATAACTCCTTTAGACAAATTCATAGCAGTGGTAACGTGTATGAAAACATTCAAACTTAAAAAAATAATTTTATGAAATATTTTCTGAGAAAATATTTTGTTTTCATCTTCTCTTTTTTAAAGAGATCACTGAAAAAAATTATCTTAAATGAACAAAATCCTTCTTTCCCAAACACTTTCATTCCCCTTTTCATGCCAGTTTGTTTTTCCCTGGAAAAAGAGGAAGCATGGAGAGGCAATAAATGAGGGGAAAAGATTTGTTATTGGTTACCTTTTAAACTTCATTTTCTTTATTTTGGTGGAAAAGTTAAAAACACATTTTTAAAAGAAATAATGGAAATATTTTTCTCTCAAGAATATCTTAAAATTATTAAAACTTAAAATAGCTGAATAAAGCATTTTGGTGGAGATCAGAACACTAAAGTAGCTCTGTATCCACATTTTACTGCTAATTCCTCATGTCTGTGACAATCCAGACCAGTTCTCTGCATCTGATCTCTCCTGATTCTGCATCTGTTTCTCATTTTGTCTTTCACTGTTTGTTTTAAAACCTGTTTCAAAGTACAGAGCTTCAGAGGCTGCATACAGAAACTTGCAACATCGTGGGCTTTTGGTACCTCCCTGTTGTTTGGAAAGGTTTTCTGTTTATAATATGACCTTAAAACATGTTATTAGAGAAGAATAAGGAGGTTTATGAAGTTGATGGAAGTAATTTGGGCATTTTGTTAGGCTCCAAGTGAATATGTTTCCCTGTCCTTTGTTACTCAGTGGGATACGCCCTTGCTCACTGGCACAGGTATTTCTAGGGAATTCAGAGTAACTCAGCAGAGATAAACTTTCTCTTAATGATATAAAATGTGTTCCTTGCATTTGCTATGGAAAAGTGTCATTTCAAAAGTCAATACACTATTCTAGACATTGCTCTGTTCTTCTTATGATGTCTTTAAGTTATGCCCAACACTTTTATCCTAAGTCCTTTTCATTGCATTTCAGGCAAATCAGTGCCCTGGAATGTTTTTTACCTTCCTGTGCGACAGATTACGATGGCAGAACACAGCACACTCGCCCTTCTCCAGACCTTCCACACATCTTTGGCAGGACGTGCTCTGGGCACACGGGATCCTAAGCAACACCCTGTGAAAAGAAACACTTGGCTGTTGGCTGTGCAGGACAAAGTTCCAGGCTCTAGTTGGCTCCTGAGCTGCAGCTTTCTTATTAATCTTAACATTAACAGCTGTGGAAACTCAGCTGCCTTCCTGATGCCGATGTTGAACGCCCTGCCGTGTGACAGAGGCTGATCTCTACTCTTGTGATGGTGGGGAAAGAGCTTTGCACCACTCTATTCATACACAGCCTTATCATGTTATTTAGTATCTTTCATCTTGCAAATAGATATCTTCTTAGAATCACAGAATGTCAGGGATTGGAAGGGACCTCAGAAGATCATCCAGTCCAATCCCCCTGCCGGAGCAGGAACCTAAATGAAATTACACAGGAAGGCGTCCAGGCAGGTTTTGAATGTCTCCAGAGAAGAGACTCCACAACCTCTCTGGGCAGCCTGTTCCAGTGCTCTTAGGTCTTGAATCATTTATTGTATTTAGCAAGCTGGGAGATTGGAACTGCATTTGTTTTTCTTTGTAAGATACCTAAAGTCCTGAGACATCTTGACACAAAAATAGTAGGGCTAGGGAGCCTTCAAGCATTCAAAACAAATGGGATATTTCTAAAGGAAAGGATTTTAAGTGCACAATTAATTTTCTAGGAACACCATTAAAAACATAGTTCTGTTGTTCAGTTCCCCAGGGCTGCAGCATATCAGCCTTGGCAGAGGCTTCCTACAGTTGTCAGGTGATACAGTTTAATTAATCTGGGAACTAATCTCCCAGAGTGCTGAACAACTTCAGCTGCTCTGCTCTAAATGGTGGTCATTTGCTGTAGATTTTTAAGAATAATCAGGTAACCTTTAAAGATTCTTGCTGATTCTTCTTCAGTGCTTTGGCATCTCTGGATTCCCCAGTACCTTTTAAAAAGTAAGTCTGGAGTACCTGCTGCCAGTCACTGGCAACTTGCACTACTGACTTCTTATGTAATTTTGATGTCAGTGCTGAAAGCCATAGCACAGATTTCTTGTCTGGAGTATTACTGAATTTTCAAGTTTTCAAATTCAGTGGAGGATAAAATTTTTAAGTAGAAACACTAATTCTATTCCTGTTGCTTCTGTTGATTTTTACTTGTACCTGTCGAGCTTTATTTATGCTTTAAAATCACTGGAGCTACGCTAAACTTGTCTCTGATGTACAGCAGCTACCCAGCCTCTGATTTTCTTTTCTCTTGCCTTCCCTTCATTTGCTGGATTCCAGCATGTGCTGTTCTCCCAAATTTGTGGGATGCCTGCTGCCTGGTGCTGTGGGTCCTATGGCAGGGTGGGCTTTGCAGGACTGCCCTGCCAGTGGATTAATTACGGGGCTGGCTCCGGGAAACTGTGAGGAAGGGCAGCCAAGTGAATCTTGCATGTGATGTGCAAGACTAGATAGATCTGTAATGACTTATCTGGGAATGTTGTTGTCACATTATTTTATAAATTTTAAATTGTGTTTATTTTTTAAATGGACAATATTTGGGTGTAAAGTGCTGCAGATGTTTATATTGGCAGTGTAGGTTACGCTCCTTCCAACTTTAACAACTCTTCAGAATGGTGATGGGACAGCTTTTGCTTTGGGGGTATTGGTTTAAATTCATTTTTATAGTTAGTAGTCAATTAAATCCATCAATCCCTCAACTTCCATCAGTGATGTGTGTAAAGCAAGCTGGAAGTGCCAGCTCAGTTCTTTCCACATGTATTTCCACATAACAAAGAGTACGTTTGAAATTTCTAGCTGCTGCAATAAGGAAGCAGAAGGCTGTACTTGGGATGCAGTCGCATCAAGGTTAGGCATGGGAGAGTGGAAGGATGAGCCCCAGGACCTGAATCCTACAATCTGAATGTAAAGATTTCAAGTTCCAATAAAAGGGGAATAACATAAGAATGAAGTAGTGTATTGGTTGAGCATTTGTGGTGTGACTTCAAACACCTAAAAGGAATTTAAAACAAATCACAGACTAGATTAAAAATAACAGTTAAGGATAGAAAGCCTCCACTTGAGATTAGAGGAGAAGTTGAGGGAAGCCATATGCAGTCACCCAGGTGTAAGCAAAGTGTCATTTAAGAATGATGCACAGTCTGCTATCGGTGCACACTGCTCAGTTGAACACTGAAGCTCTGATCCTGTTTCAGAGACTGAACTTATATTTATTTGATAGAGTCTGGGATTCACTTAGAATCTGAATATGTGAAGTGATTTAACTAGAGGTGTATCTGATTTACTAGTGGGTTGGAACTTATTCCAGAGCTGCGTGGCCTGTGGTCCTTTCTTCTGTTTGCTCTTTGTCATCTTCTTTTGCAGTGGGAGGCATTTACACCGTCATCCAGACAAAAGCCAAAATTACAGCAGATGAATGGGGTGAAAACTATTTCCTGGTTGGTCCCTATTTTGAGCACAATGTGAAGACTCAGGTGGAAGCATGTGAGCCTCCAAACCCTGCAGTTAAGAAGGCAATGGATACCATGAATGGCCAAGGGTGTCAGGTAAATAAGATGTGCTACTTCTTCCCAGGGCAACAAGGCTGATTCTGAGGAGGTTACAGTTTTGGTTAATGCTTTTGCCATTCTCCATGACACAGCAGTCCATCCTGGTCAATGTTGCAAGGCGAAAAGCTCAGAATCCACTGTTAAAACAGCTCTCAATTCATTAAAGGTTATTTTTGAGGAAGAACCAGTTTATCCAATTAAAGGTTTTAACAGTCCGTTCATCTGCAAGTCTACTTAATTGGGTTAATGACTTATTTATCCACCCTGTAAACATGGTGAGATTTTAGTCGATATAATAGCTAGCTAGAACAAGTCCAGCTAGGACAGGCAGCTAGCTAGAACAAGTCCAGAGGAGACCACCAGGATGATCTGAGGGCTGGAGCACCTCTCCTATGAAGACAGGCTGAGAGAGTGGGGGCTGTTCAGCCTGGAGAAGAGAAGGCTCCAGGGAAACCTTATAGCAGCCTTCCAGTACCTGAAGGGGCTACAGGAAAGCTGGGGAAGGACTTTTCCTAAGGGCAGTTAATGACAAAACAAGGGGAAATGGGTTTAAACTGAAAGAGGGTGGGTTTAGATTAGATATTAGGAAGAAGTTCTTCACTGTGAGGGTGGTCAGACACTGGAACAGGTTGCCCAAGGAAGTTGTGAATGCCCCCTCCCTGGAAGTGTTCAGGGCCAGGCTGGATGAGGCTTTGAGCAACCTGGTCTAGTGGAAGGTGTCCCTGCTGATGGCAGGGAGGTTGGAACTAGATGATCTTTGAGGTCCCTTCCAATCCAAACCATTCTATGATTCTAATATGACTTTACTTTGACTGGACCCTTACATTACATCTGGCATTCTTGTGCTAGAGAGAGAAAATTATTCCACTAGCTCATAATTTTTTTTTCATGTAGCATTATATTGAGTTGAAAGCGACAAACAACAGGTGGACTTAAGAAAAGCACCCAACTGACAAAGAATCTGCTTCCTCAGATCAGCGCAACAAGCTGTCTGCTCCCTAGTAAGAGAGGATAAACCACAGCATGAGGAATGAGTTAATCTGTTTCCTACATATTTTTTAACCAGTGTTTTCTGTTTGATCTCAGTTAAACCTTGTAGCCTCTCTGTGACTCAGTTTCTCCAACAATAAACTAGGAATAAAGTTCTATAGAAGTGATCTGCTGAAAGGAATAGAATCTGCTGTGTTGATGTGCAAGCTACTAAGCTGCAAGCAGCTGCGGCCTCGAGGACAACTGGTTCCCTGAAAGTGGGTTGAAAATAACACATGCTGAATCTGACCTCCTTTCTTGAGAGTTATCATGAGAGACCTAGAACTCACCTTCATTCTGATTCAGCATTGAGCCCCTCAGAGTTGCTGGTTGACAGAAGGACAAATTGTCTACGTATAGTGTGTGCCAAACAGGTGTGAAAAGCATTGAGACACAGCAGCAAGGAAGCGTTCTTACACACTCCTGTTGTGGAGGGGAATTTAGTGTAGAAATTCATTAAGTTTTTAGAGTGTCACCCCCTGTGGCAGTGGAGTTGTGTTATCTGCCTTTGTGACAGCAGTTCTACTGTTGGTAGGATCTAGTGCCCTATTGCATATTATGTCACCATGTATTGTTGGATGTGTATGTGCAACAGCTGGGCAAGGTGTCTGCTGGGGACAATAACATTGTGTGATGCTTGCATTGTTCAGGCTGAGGTTCAGACTGAAAGGTCTAATCTAACTGCCATTTCTTATTTCTAATCAGATTTTTGTAAGTGATTGATCGAATTTTTAATGTTGCTTACAAAGAGATGTCTCTGCAAGCTGAGCAACACTCCTGTTTGGAAAACGGATAAACATTTGTGGGGCAGATTAGGTGCAATGCTCTATCTTACTTACACTTAATGCTCTTCCAGCAGTACATTAAATTTAATCAGCCAACTCTGCCACCCTAACGTGTGCATCGTGCTGCTGGAGTATTCATACATAGCAGTAAATCTATCCCAGGTATATCAAGGATAACTTTTATCTCTAATAATGGCTCTCAGGTTTCCAGGAGCTGTGCTTATCCTATTAACATTTATGTCTGGATTTTGCATCCTTTTAAACCAGGGGACCTAGGAGCGCTTCCAAACCTCTTGGGTCAGGTATGTTCCGTGCCACAGCCTGACTCTGTATTTAGATAAAGTCTGGGTTCACACAAACTCCCTGCTTTTTAACCTCACTTTCCTGAATAAGAAGCCTGGATAGCCTGAAATAAGTGTGTAAGGAGCTGACCCTCCTTCACACAACTGTCTTTGTTACACCCTGTATTTTTTTGTGTGAACAGGCCTAAGAGCTTTCACCTCATTGTCTTCAAGGGTTGACCTCTATTCAGCCTGTTCTAGCATCAGGGCTGGGTTCAACCCCTGAGGTCCCAGGGGCTGATGAATTAAAAGAGGTCCAACAGTGGCATAAAGGATTCTTCTTCTGCGTGGGCTATAAGCTGTGCTGACCTCCCTGTAGTATCTCATTCTTCCTGGTAAATATGGTTCTGCTGCTGTAGACATTTTTATGGTGAAATTAATGTGAAATAATTTGACTGTGCAGACTGGTACAGTCTGTAGTGTGGGCCTAGCTCTGTTGTGTTGCCTGTGACAGTTCAGCCTACTCTCTTGGTTGGGCAGGTTGGGCAAGTAAGTTATGTCAGTGGAGTTCTGAATATTCTTAGAGATGTTTAACTATACTAATGCAGATAAAGCAGGAAAGCTGTATTTTTAGGCTGATGTGGATTTTAGGTATTACTACACCTTCTGATTGATCCTTCCACTCTGCCAAAGGGCATTAACTGTGCTGCTTGGGCAGAATAATGAAATGTCATGGTAGATACTGGTCCCAAAAACCTGTCCTACAAAATCTATCACCAGTAATCTAGAATAAATGGTAAAAGATTGGTGACAAATCTGACTGAAAGAAAATAAAAATTTTGAAATGAGAACAAAAATGGCATAGATAATTCAATAAGGACACAAGGCCTCATTATTGAACCAAGTGTAGTCTTTTGAAGCGTTTTTTGTGAAAAGAAGTAAACATTGCAATGAAAATCTAAAGTGAAAGCCTTAAAACCAAAATGTTCTTAAAGATTATAGTTTTCTTTTATTCTTGCCTTTGGTCCAGTATTACTCCATGTATTTTGCAAGGAAAACCACAGATCCTGAGTACGTAGAACTATGATCGCGTGTTCCCTACGTAAAACACTTAAGATTTGATGGGTGAATATAGTTATGCTAACTGGCCTTTACATTCACTTTAACATTTTCTGCTCATACCTTTGCCTCTTTCCCATAGGTCTTTTTTGGAAGATGGCTGATAGAGGGCAGCCCATATGTCTTACTGTTTGATATAGGATCAGCAGCTTGGAATCTGGACAGGTGGAAAGGTGAATTTTGGGATGCCACCAACATAGGCATCCCTTATAATGACCGAGAAGCCAATGATGCTGTGATTTTTGGATCATTAACAGTCTGGTTTTTAAAAGAGGTACGGTTTTTAAATCTAGATGTTTCAAAACCTCAGCCTTGTCAGCAGGGCAAAAAAGCTTTGGAACGTGGTTCCTATTCTCCAGTTTGAAAACTATGATTTTAAAGAAGTTTATACCTGATGTAGATCAAATTTGTATTTAAAACTTAAGTGGTCATTAAACTGAAGCAGGTGGGGGCTGCCCTATGTGAATTCTGCTGTGTCTTACTGTCACTTCCCCTCTGTTTCTTCTCTACTCCCTTATTTGTCACTGGATGATCTCACAAGTAGGATCCAAACTCCCTTTTTCTCTCTCTCCTATGGTAGTCAAGTTGTCACACTCACAAACTGTCCTTGAAGCTGGTCAAGCCATATCTCCACAATTAGATATGACCTTGCACAGGGAATATAGACAGACAGAAAGAATTAATGATAGCGCTGTGACTTTGCATGTCACTCTGCCATAGCCTACCTCAAGAGAGGAAACTTTGTTCATCTGCAGAATCATCTCCCTGTCATGGGTGCTCATGATTTTCTTATCCAAACAAGAATTTCAACAGCAGAAGAGCAAATTAAAAGAAAGAAGAGTGACTGTGCTTGCCAGAGCTTCGCAACACTTAAGGAAGGATACTGCTCTGAGGTGCTAGTGAGGAACGTAATTTTTAGGCTCAGGATTAGGGCTGGTGGGAGTTAAGACACATGACTGCTTAAAACACAGTACTGCTTTGTCACCTGAAGGAAAGCAAGCACACAGAAGGAGGCATGAGAAGCAGAGGTTTCTGGGTCTGGGATGATGAGCAGAATAATTTCTATTTAATGTATGTTCTTTCTAATTATTTGCAGCTTTCCTGTCAGTTTAATGACAAGCCCAACATAATTGCCCACTTCCACGAGTGGCAGGCAGGAGTGGGTTTAATACTGTCTCGTTCTCAGAAACTTCCTGTTGCCACAATTTTTACTACCCATGCGACTCTGCTTGGGAGATACCTGTGTGCAGCCAATATAGATTTTTACAACAATCTTGACCAGGTAAGAGACATTTTTTTATTCCTTCTTCTTTTTCAGCTAATCAGCTCCTGGCTCCATTTCTGTTTATTGTGCTACACCTCGTAGGATATATTTTGTATTTCCTGTCTTGTATGGTCACTTATGATTGACTCACAGCTAAGTGAGTTGTCAGTTCCAGAGCACAATAAATGGTATTTGTAAGACCACGAGGTGTCTAGGCACGAGTGCCTTTATCTCTGTGTCATCTGACAGGTCTTAAAGCTCAGTGGAGTTTAGAATACCTGCACTACCTTCAGTGAACTTTGATTTACCAGATGTGCACTGCAGAGGACTGAAACTCATTCAGCCTCCAGTCAAGTCAATGCCTTAGTCCAATCCACTGATAAATGGAGTAATATTGCAGCAGTATGGGATTGCCAACAGAGATTCTTAACCTTCTTTTCAATGGTTTGGGACGTTTTCTAAAAGTAAGGGGAGAGTTACAGGCCCAGACATCAATGCAAGTCCAGTGTCCTTGAGAATCTTCGCCTTTGTGTTCAGGAAAGGCACCCATTGCTTGAGTTGATTGCTGAGGTTTGGGAGTTACTGTTAGCAGCACGAGTAACCAGTGAATGTAAAACCTATTCAGTTGTAGTCATCATCTAAGACTTCGGGTGCAGCCTCACAGCACTCTTGATGAAAGGCAGGAATGGAAATAGCCAGTAGCCCTCTTCTTGCAGAAATTACCCTGGCATTCCATTAAATGTTTTGGTTTGGTTTGGTTTTTTTTCCTTTCCCCAGCTTACTTCATAATTCTTGCAAGTCATACTAAGTCCTTCTATTTTCAAGCTTTTCAGGTTAGGCTTAATTTGTAAGTGGCAAATGTAGGAAGTATTTTCTGAGTTCAAAAGACCCACATCTGTTTCTTGGAATTTTTGTGAACTCATCTAGTGGTTTTGGTTTTCACTGTTTTCTTTTTCACTCAAAGCAGAATAGAAACCAATGTTTCAAGGATGTCTTTAGCACTACCTTCAGCAGAAGTACATTACATGATCTTGGTTTTCTAATATAGTTACAGACAAACTGAGATCAAGAGATTTTTGCATTCCAGCACTTACTGGGGGTAGAGGTGGTTAAAAGGCTAAAACAACTGCCTTATTCACTGTCCATGTGTTTCCTTGGCTAAAATCAATGAAGAAAATTACTGGGCCATTTTCAGTTGTATGTTTGAAGCTTGACACACTGTGGAGCAGTGTCTTCTAAAGACAAGGCCCAAGCAGTAGTGAACTACTGGCCTTATTCACAAGCACAGAATAGATTGACATTCACTTGTACTCCAACAAAAGTCATTCACCTTACTCCTCTTATTTATTTATTTTATTTTTTCCTTTCCCACCAAAAGCAACTACTGATTCTACTGAACACACAAGTAGGAGACTGTCTCCATTCCCTTATGTGCATAAAGGTTGTAGCTTGGTAGTGTTTAGGGGGAATTCTCTCTGCTCAGTATTAGGTAACTAACATAGCAGGTTACTCCTCCTGGGCTCCCTATAGCATCAGTGGAATGACACTGGCCTCTTCACAATCAGTGTGAGGGAAACATCCTTAAATTACCACCTGACAAATCTGTCTCCATCTGTCACCTAGGAGAACTAGGCTCCTAAACTAGATAGGTTTGTTAATGGCACAGCATGAATAACCCAGTCATGCTGTCAGAATGAAGTTTCAGGAGTCTAGGCATTCCTACTCCCTCATATTCTTCTTATGTGCATATATCATAGAATCATAGAATGGTTTGGATTGGAAGGGACCTGAAAGATCATCTAGTTCCAACCCCCCTGCCATCAGCAGGGACACCTTCCACTAGACCAGGTTGCTCAAAGCCTCATCCAGCCTGGCCGAGAACACTTCCAGGGAGGGGGCATCCACAACTTCCTTGGGCAACCTGTTCCAGTGTCTGACCACCCTCACAGTGAAGAACTTCTTCCTAATATCTCATCTAAACCTTCCCTCTTTCAGCTTAAAGCCATTTCCCCTTGTTTTGTCATTAGTTGCCCTTATGAAAAGTCCTTCCCCAGCTTTCTTGTAGGCCCCATATACCAAATCTAGCTGTAAAGTCGCGTTTAATTGTTTTTCTCTGGACAGAGCTAGATTGAAAGAAGTAAACCCATGCATTTTGAAGTTTAACACTTGAGAAAGTGGGGACTTTTCAGCAGTAACTTTATTCATTCAGCCTTGCATTCTTACACATAATTTGTTAGTAAGAAAGCCATAGTAAAAAAAAAAGGGGGGGGGGGCATTTAAAACGCGAATTTAAAGAGAATGCTGATTGTTTTACAAACTGATTCTAAAAATACTATGTTAGAGCCTTGCCTTCCTTTTGTAAAGGAAATTCTAAAAAAATTGTGCTTTGTTTTGTATGCTGGTTAATTTGGTGAGCTACAAGTATTCTGGCAAAATAGTTTGCTTTTCTCAAAAGCAACATCCCCCCCTTCATTATAACTGTGGGGGCCTCACCCTTGTCTGTGTACTCAGAAAAGAAAGTAATGACCTTACATCTGAGCAGACTTTGAGATTTTAATATATTTATAATCTAGTCACAGTATTAATACCATTGTTACTGTTCACACATGACATGACCAGCCTTATGTGTTAAGACACTGTCCATCCTTCTGCAAAGCTTCACAAATCCCATTGGTAACTATCAGTTACATTATAAATACAGACATTTCTAATCAGATTTTATTCTACGCATATATGGAATGAAACATATGTATCAGTTTAAAGTATTATTATAAACTGCTGTAAATAATATTTAAGGGAAGAAACTTGTGGATTTCTAGGCCTTAATGCTTCATGCCCTCTGTGGAGAGATTGACATTTAAAGGTACTAATAGAGGAAATGATGCCAAGGCTGTTCTTATTGATGTCTTCTAGTAGTAAACAATTAAGGTCAATCAGACAATTTCTCCAGTGGAGAAGATTCTTTAGGGCTTCTTAATGTTTAATCTTTGGATGAGACAATATATTTTTAGGGCATGCTGTCCCCTCCCACCCCAAAGTAGAATAGGTGATTTTCCTATTTCAGTGCTATTGTATAATTTTCTTCCTTTAAAGCATAATAATAATTGACTCTAAGTTCTCACTTCTGATCAGCGCTTCATGGTTAGAACACATTTTCTACCAGCTTTAAGCACAGCAGCTGAGATGAGAGGGAAAGGTGCAACTGTAGTGTGTACCATGCCAGAAACCACAGAAAAATGGTTGCAGTGCAGAAAGAAAGGGTATGACTCAATTGTGCCTAGAGACAATCAGACATGCACAGCTCCTGCAGACAAAAGAGGAAAGCTCGTGTTCACATTTCTAGTCCCCAACACGTTCCACAAAAAGCTGGCTTAGAATGCCTGTGAGGGAGAGCTCTCCTCAGCCCTCTGAGGCCGTGTGCTTTGCTGCAGCATTGAAGGATTTAACAGCAGGATCCACAGGCAAAACAATGACATGATTGTTTGTTGGCTGATAAAAGACATTTACCTGACATCTTCACAGTCCTTTCTCCTTTCACAGTGTCCTGGTGCGTGTGACCAGTGTGCTGCTCCTCACCATAGTATTTCCTGTTAGCCTGTAACATGTTCTGTTTGTCCTCCGCTGTCTGTCAGCCCTGCCTGCTCTGCACACGCACACAGGTACATGTCCCCACACAGTGCAGCGCTGTGTTAAACCACCCCTGGAGAGAAGCAGGACCAGAAGGTATGAGAGGAATTGAAAGATCTGTTTTAAAAATATAAATTACTAAGATTTTCCTTCTTTCTCTGGATTCCCAGTGGAAAATACCACTTTAATTCACCTTCCTAGCAAAGTTCAGTAGGTGCCAACTGGCACAAATACAGAAGGTACAGATGTATTCTCTGAAGTAAGCCAGTGAGGTCAGAAGCTTTAGACTAGAGAAGACTTTGGCCCAGGTTCCAACCTGTTTGGAGTGAATGTCAATATCAATGATCAGGCAAAGGGCTGTGCAGTGCAGGCTGGCTGACACTTTCTCTAGCACTTCTATGAGTAAAGAGCTCAAGTCACCAGCCCCTGTCAGGTGATGAAACTGGAAGGGAAGGCTCCACGTGGTCTTCTGGTAGCCACAAACACTGGACCTGTGAAAACTTGACCTTCAGTCTTGCTTGTCTTTTGGGGAGAAGTTAGGAATGACTTAGTGAAGGGTTGCCACACTGTGATGTGTGACACTTTACGGACTCCCTGAATCAAAGAGGCCTGAACTGTAGGCTACTAAAACTCTATTTCATGAGCTGAAGATACATGTCAGCCTGTGAGCCGTAACAGGACATTTGCTGGGGGACTGAAAAGCCAGTCAGCCTAGTGGGTTAGAGCTGTAGACTGCTGGGAGACAGGAGAGCACATTGTGGATGTAACGACTGCAATGTTGTCTGACTCCTGACCACTTCCCACGCCGTCTGCTCTTTGCCTCAATCAGAGACAAGATACTGGTTCTTATACAGCCTTACTGTATGAGATTATACAATTCTTACAGTCTTAGCTTAGTTCATCTGGTCTGGGAGAAGTTTAGTTGCCTCTGCTCTGGTGGAAAACTGGGTGTTAAACACGTAACAGTGTGCAGGGGAGCACAGTGAACACCAGAGGTAACACTGTTGTGTCCTCAGCAGCAGGTAACGAACAACAGATGGGCTGTGTCTGAGCTAAGGAGCCCTGAGGCAGTAACTGTATAACAGCTATTCAGTGCACATTTTATTTCCTAGATTCACATTCTGGAGGAAGGAATGAAGGGAGGAAAAACAAAAAGAACAAAACAGAAGGTGACTTGCATGGTAACTGGGAGTGTGTGATATTTTTATTTACTGTTATGCATCTGAAGAACCCTGGGTAAACGGCTGGGTCAGGGACTGCTAACCCTGCCTACAGGTTACTGGCTTGAACTCTTCCAAAGTCAACACTTTCTGATTTCAATAACAAGCAGAGTATGTTATGAGCTTAAATCCTAACAGAGGTATTATAATAGATTTAACTATGCTTAAGAAGTTTTGCAGATCTAAACAGTCCAACCAGCAATGCGCTTTTTCCCATTGTCCCCATGTCCAGTGTAGCTTTTACACTGGTGAGAATAAGGTTATGTTTGTTGCTGAGATAAACTAAATCAAAATAACTCATCCAGAAGGTAGGAAGTTCTGTGGAAAAAAAAGTTCTGAGCCTATGGAGCCTTTTTGTCTTCAGGAGGAACTGACTTCTCAGCTGAAGGTCAAGAATGCTAGTCTGTTATTGCTTTCCCCATTGTTTAAGGGGACTGGCTTACTTAGGGGTTGGTTTTTGTTTGTTTGTTTAGTTGGTTGGCGGCCTTTTTTTTTTTTTTTTGTCTCATTTCACCCCTCTGGGGTTTTAAATAGACCAACAGCTTTAATAAAGTGACTGAGAGACACTGATGATCCAGGCTAGATCATGGGTGAATAGATGGTTGTGTCAGGAACAGTCTTTTTGGCAAATTATCTAACCTGGAATTTCATCCAAGAGGTGACCATGTGAAATGGTTTTGTGGACCACTGACCTGGCATAATGGAGAAGTTTGTAGGCTTCAGCCTCTGATGCTTCTTACTAAAAAGTCACCCTGAATTATAATGGCAAAAGTGCTCTAAGGAGAAGAAAAAAAATTACTCATACTTCATTGCTGTTTCCTTATACAAGGTTGCCCTGCCACTGTGTAACACTTTTATTTAGACCTGGCAATATTTTACATTCAGGTCATACAAGTGCAGCAGAATCTGGTTTGCAAAGTGGTGGAGAATTCTATCCCAAGAGGTCTAAAAGGAAAAGTACTAAAAATCCCAATGAAAATGAATAGTCAGGAGCTTTTATGCTGACAATACAGGAGCACAAGCTCTCATGCTACAGTACTGTGACAGCTGTCACTGAGCTCGCTGTTATGCAAAGCTGAGGGTCTGCTTTGTTAGTAGAACAGCTAATGGAAATCTAACTTAAGCTAGGAAGTGTAAATTTCATTCTTATTGGGCATGGCAGAGCCATATCAGAATGACAGTTCTATTTGCACGAGGTAACAATCAATGGGAGTTAAATTTGACATAAACTGGATTTTAAAAAGAGTAATTCTTACATAATTCAGACGATGCCAGCCAGTGAGATTTTGCTAGAAGTTAAGATCTTTCCATTCTACCTTTTGGTAGATAAAGAGTTTGAACCTCAGGCCTGTCTCTGACTGTTCCTGATTCCACTGCAGAATCACCTTGTGAACTTGAGTGTGCCGTCAGTTTTAAAGACAGAAAATTTCATTCTCTGCCCCAAATCCTCAGCTAAAAATTCATGCATCAAACCTTTTATTTGAGATACAAACTACTTAAAAAATATTATCCACTCTTGAGGTGGTTCAAGTGGTGAGGAGAATCTATATTGTTCATGTAAAGGTGTCACAATGTTATTCATTATCAAAACAATATATTTTAATTACACTTTGAATTTACCTTCATTTAACTTCCATTTGTTTTCATAATACTTTATTTATGAAAGCACACTCTAGGGTCAGTATCTAGAGATAGAATGCAGACTGTAACATATGATTTATCTGTCTTTCAGAAAAGTATTTATATAGCTAGTATAGTCTTTCCTCCTTTCCCATTCTCAAATCATTCTTCTTATGCTTTTTAAAATCCTTTGCAATTTGTCTTTATCAGTTTGTAGTGCAAATATCTGATTTTGATTTTTTTTTAATTACTTCAGTGAATATTCCCTGTTACTAAGAGAAACATAATGCCAATGTCCCATAACTGCTTGATATTCTCTACTTCTTGCATTCAAATATTGTCTTAGCTGTCTTAACTAGAACATCATGCTGGGAGGTTCAGTGGTTACCTACTGTGCCCTCCAACATCTTAAATTTTAAGACATAATGAAATGTGCTCATCACATGGATCCACAGAAAGGACAGAAATGAGCTGAAATTTTCTCAGAATTGCATTGCAGTGAATGCAAGTTTTACTCCAAAGCCTTACATCTTCCTGTTTTGCTTTGAAAGAAGAGTGGCCTTATAAGGGAGGCATTTTGCCCTCTAATCCTTGCCATCATGTAAATTCTAATCATCTGCTTGGTTTCTAATAGTCAGAATACGAGGGGATACTTACTGGAAGTAGTTGAATATTTACAGGGAAGTGGATATTGAAGTCATTGGTTTTTAAAGGTCACTGGGGGAAAAAACAGTTGGACTCAGTGGTCTTAGGGTGTTTTTCAACCTAAATGAATTCTCTAAACAGTTAATCTGGCTTAGATCTGTTTTTCTCTTGATGCAGCTTTTGTTTGTGGCTTTGCTAGTGTTCCCATTTGCTGATAACAGCAAACAAACAACAGTAAGCATGACGTACTTCACATATTTTGCTTTGCCCTTGCTGGATGTGAATGTTGTGGAACATAGTTCACAGGTGCCTAAGCTGGGGCAGACAAGCATTCAAATAGCAGAGCCAATTGCTGAGCAGAAACATTGGCTTGGGGGTGAAGAGCAAACTAGCTGCCCTGGTGTTTTGCTTCATTTCAGTGTATTGGCTCAATACAGTGCCATGCCTCATGTTGCTTCTAATTCTGGAGCTAATACTGTCACAGCAAGCTCAGCTGTCTTTGCACAGCACTGTGTGGACTAAACTTTTCCCTTGCACTATCTCATCAATTAAGTTCCATTTAACCTGCCCTTCAGCTCGTCTAAGGCTTATTTTCTGGTCACTCACCTAGCCTGCTCAGAGGTGCACAATGAGGTTTCTGACTCCACACTATAAGTGGAGTCAAAGGTCAAGATTTTGCTTTACCAGTTGGTGGACAAAACTGCTGGAGAGTGAGAGCAGATTAAATGTGAGAACTCTGTGACCTCAGTTTATACTTGCTAATAGACATGGAATTGTCTACCTTTGAAAAAGCACGCCAGAAGTTATGCAAGCATGTGTAAAATAAAATATTTCCTATTTCCAGATGAACAAATGACTAGCAATGAAGAAATAAATGTCAATATGTGTTAAATGTGTTAAATGCTTTCATGCAATTAAATAAATAAAAGCTAACAAATAATAAGCCAAAGCACTTTGAACAATTGTTTCTTCCTCCCAGTGGCGTTGGAGGGAGTGTTTATCTACAGTTAGTGAATATGTCACAGATTTATTTTTTAATTATACTTTGTAAAGAACTCATTCTTGATGAGAAAGGGAAAAGAGAACAAAAACATTGTAAAGTTTGGCCAGTCCTTTCTTTGCTAGAAATTTTTTAATTATTTTTGATACAAAGTCAGACATATTTGAAAATCCTTGCATAGTTTTGACTGTGCAGTAGTACCCCACCCCATTTATGTGTTTGCCCAGCATGCTGAAGAACTGTCCCATTTTTTATCTTTGATATACTGAATGGTTGAACAATCGTCATGATTTCTGATTTTTGTTATTGTTCTATATGCAGCTTCCTACCTTACTTGCAACATGTAATTAAGATTTCTGCTCTGAAGAACATATCTGTAATTTTATTAAGAGCTGTTTTGCAGCATTCACCAGCGGTATCTGAATGCTCCAGAGACATTCATTAATTAGTTTACCACACCTTGGAGGGGAGGGTGGGAGGATAGCTAAAGCACCCACATTTTCTTCGGGAAACTTTTATCAGCGTTAGCAGTACCAAGTATTTTATAACCTCAGAGCATAGATCCAGTGGATTTCAGATGTAGATGTGAATGCTCAACACTTCAACAGAGGAGACTCAAAGATATCAAGGTAGTCTTCTAGAAAAAAAGAGGAACACACAGTTCAGAACTACATGTGAAAGATTTGGTTTAGGGTAAGCAAAGCATCATGCTCGAGATCTGTGGTACCCTAAGGAGTCAAATTAATTCACCTTTGTTTTTCTCTTCCTCTACCCTCGTGCCCTGTGCTTTTTCTAACATTCAACTTCTGTGACAAATGAGATGTGTGTTCTAGAGAAAAGATCTTCTTTTGTGACATGGTTGTATTTCACACACCACAATTCTCATGGTGAATGTGGAGAATATGACATATGATGATACAACTAAAAGGTTATATCATAATGTATAGCATATGCTGTGGTAAAGCGTATTTCCTAGCTTGTCTAAAAGCCTAATTGACAGGCTTAGAAGCTCTTGACATACAGGATCATCAGTACCAAAAGAAAGCATCTAGTGTCTCCATAACTTTTCAGATGAAATTTTTCAAGACTCCTGTTTTGGTCACATTAATGTGGCATTTTCAATTAACATAGCAGAAGCCATTTTCCCACCAGCTGTGTAGCGCCACTGCAAAATTAGAGTGCTCAGCAAATAATCATGGTGGACTTTAAGGAATAGCATCTCAGAGTATCAGAAAATACCTAATTTTCTATTTTCTTTGTTCCCTTGGGATTTGTGACTGAGTTTTTACATCCTACCTCCCTACCACGACTCCATTTCTCTCTTGCCTACCCATGATTCACACCAGTGAATCTACCCAGTCCCCAGGTTCTTTTCTCATCCCCATTCCTTTTTTTCTCCTTTATACCTTCAATTACCAGCAACTCTCTACCCTGCTCTGCCAAGTTTTCCAACAAGCCCAGGCAAGATGCGGCATGACTTATTGCCGAGTAACACAGATCCTTACCTTTCAGAGGATCATTAATCTAGGTCTCCCTCCATTGCAGAGATGCCATTTTTTTTCATGAACATGCAGGAATTGAGACGTCTCTTGCTCATTCAAGCTCTTTGAAGTGGATAATATAGTTCAAAAACCAGAAAGACAACAACAGCATAACCATATGACTCATTCCCTGAGGAAATCAAGCTTAACACAAGAGACCTTTGTGGTAATAAGTCTGAGTGTATCACACAGGTGTCTTTTTTGTTTGTTTTATTGTTTAACAGTTTGACATTGACAAGGAAGCAGGAGAGAGACAGATTTACCACCGGTACTGTATGGAACGGGCATCTGTACATTGTGCCCACGTGTTCACCACAGTCTCACAGATAACAGCTATAGAAGCAGAACATATGCTTAAAAGAAATCCTGGTAAGACCTTTTTATATTTCCTACGGGTACCTATGTTTCCTCAGACTGAATGAAAATAATAGACACAGGTATACAAACATGAAGAACAAGGACACGTGCATGGGTGTGTCTGGCTACACTACGGAGAATAACCCATTTTCAAAAGAAAAGTGCAAATAATATCACTTGAAACACATTCTAGTAGCATATGTAATCCAAAAGAAATAGAAAATTCAACACCATTTAATAACTGTTTTCAGTACCATTTCAGGAGAGCCCTGGTTTAACTCCATGAATGTCGGGCTTTCTTTGCAAGGACATCTCTGCTTCAGGAGTTTTGGCTTTAGCAGGGTTTCCAATGATAGTAATATATTCTGGTCAGCTGATGAAAGCAGAAGCTGGAACCTTTGTAATACATTTCGCCAGCTTTTTAGCATCTGAGGTTTGTTGCTTTGCTAGAGATGAGTGATATATTCTTATAGAAATGTAGCAAAAGTTTCCTATGCAAAACAGAATGTTGAATAAGTTTTGCTTTCCAGTGCTGGTGGTGTTTTTCTTTACTTAATACTGAAAGAGATGAGAAGGCAAAAACCAAACCATAAATCAATACAGTTAATTTCCCTGTATCTCTCGCAGCTGGGAGTAGCAGTGTGGTTGTGGCCATCATGATCTTAGGATCTAACCATGATAAATTTAATAGATAGATACAATATTTTCTAATAGACCAACCAGTACAGTTTGAAAAAATAGTCAAGGTATGTGCCCAACAGTTTGTCTGATTTTACCCTTTGTATTAGTCTGATAAAATATGGAACTTACCAACAAACCTTGTTGTGTTCCATGCATGGAATTTGAATAAAGTTATGATCCCAGTTTAATCTGTCATTAAAGTTCTCTTTAAATCAGCACAGTGCTTTATAAGGACAAGCCACAATACTCCATCTGCAGGTAGGCATGATGGGGGAAAAACTGCAAAACAATTTTAGCAGGTGTGTTCACATCTTAGTTGGTTATTTGAAGTATAGCAATGCTCAGATAAAGAGTAATCAGAGATCACTTACCTGGCAGGGAAATATACATACTCCTAAAGCAGACTGCAAATTTCAAGGGAGTAATTAAAGATGGTTGTGGTAATTGCATGAAAAATACCAAGCAAGTGTACTGGACAGCATATGGAGAACTGATTGTACTTAGTTTAACATCATCTTGATACATAATCAATCAAAGTATCCATAGATGTTTTAAAGACATCTCCCTAAGTCTCTAAGAGACAGTTTTAAACATAGGTCACACGCATAATGCTAGACACACAAACCTCTGCCTCTAGGGGAAGAGAGAGGAAATGCTGAATGTCAGGCATCCTTGGCCCAAAGACCACAATACAAGCACTTACCACGTCCTGTCTGGGTCGCAAGCAAGAGACTGTACTCCCACCAGTAATCCTGATGCATGGGCACTGAGATCAAAGGAGATGCTGTTTTGTTTGCATGAACCTTGTGTGGTAGGGAGTGATATCTATCTGAAGGTCCTTTGGATGATGCATAGAAGTTTTAAAGTTACTACAGTTAATGGTTGTGGTTACTAGACACCTGATGACACTTGCCAGTAGAACAAGTATGAAATCGGCACTGGTGCATCCTCTAATAATTAGTGCTTCTTCCTTCTTGGAAGATTCTTTGTATTTGAAGAATCCCTGGTTATCATAAATTAGTATGCCTACTGAATTCAGTTGTGTTACTATGAAATACTTCTGCTGAGGAGCTGGCCTCCCCTTTCATTTCCATACATGGCTTTCATAAGCCAACTCAAAGAAAAAGAAAATGGCATTCCTTCAGTTTACTTCAACTAGAATCAGGCAAGCCTTTAAATAACTGCTGTGCTCTACCAGAAAGGTCAAGAGTGTTGGTTCGAACAAGATGTGTCTCTCCTTATAACAATATGTATATCCTATAACTCTGGATACTGGAAATGAATGAATTTTAATTGTAAGATGCTTTGGAATCTTTGAGGAGAGGAGCCATAAAAGTAGAAAGCATGCTATTCTGTGGCTATTTTTAGGAGAAATCCAACAGAATATGAAAGGTGGTCTTTTTAAAAAGGTTTATTATATTCTCCCTTTTGTGGTAAAACCTCTGAAGTCTTGACAGAACAGACCTCTCTTGTGCCATGCAGTAAACAAATGCAAACTACAGCACAGCTCAAGAGCTTTCAATCTATAGTGATAAAGCAGGCAACAGTAATATCAAGAATAAAGAGGTAAAGGGCATATTACATAAAAAACATATGGCTAAATGGAGACATTACTTAAGTCCTGACAGGACAAAAGGACATGAGGAGACCTGAGTTTTCAGCAGGGTCTATGCTAATGTTGAGTATGGGTCAAAACAGTACAAAGCCACTGCAATGCTGTAGACAGTGGAGTGCCACATGCAATAGCTTTGCAGAGTAAGGTGGTGGAGACCATTGTGTTAGAGAGTGCTCTTCCAGGAGTAATAAAAGTACGTAACCTGTTGACATTCTGACAACTGAGACATGTTGATTCTCTCCTTAAAGATTTCTCTGACTCTGAAGATGTATAACTCTGCCTTGTCTCTGCTTTTCCAGATGTTGTCACCCCAAATGGCTTGAACATTAAGAAATTTTCAGCAATGCATGAATTTCAGAATTTGCATTCCACGTACAAGGCCAGGATCCAAGAGTTCATTCGAGGTCATTTCTATGGGTATGCTCTTACTTTTCAAAAATTAGCAATGGTTGTCCAACACTATTTAAAGGAAGAAGCAAAGCAGGAAGACTAACAAGTACTTCACAGAGAAGGTGAAATGTAACCAACTTAATGGTTAGGATTGGAAGGGACCTTAAAGA